ATGGTGGGGTTTATAGTGGCCGCAGTTTTCTGAACTCAGATTGTAGTCTTCCTGTTTTGATCCCGATGATCGCGATCTGCCGGGTCTTTGCCGGGAGGGCTCTGTCCGTCAGTCCCCGTGGTTGAGGTCATAGCACCCTCGTTGGTCTCCACATGGTGGTTGTTGTCATTGTTGTCGACATTCAACTCTCGATCACGATTTCCAACGGGTCACAGGTTCATTATAGTCGAAACGGTTCACGGAACCCTTGCTATGCATGGAGGATTGATTACCTCCGGTCCCGCTTATGATTCTTCTCATAATCGTTCACCATTCCTCGAGTTCGGATTAGAAAGTAAGGGTCGTCCGGTAAGTAGGATTTTGCTATGCCGTATTTGCGAGAATAGGAGGGGAGGAGATAAGTACTATGCGTCTAACTCTATTATCAATTACTTATAGGGGTGATCCTTATTAGTTACTTCTATAATGACGTAGTGCATACTAATTACATATAACAAGATACGATAGACCATTTGAATAAGTGATCCCACTCTAAGTCCACATCCAAACAGGAAAAGGAAGTAAAGTAATGACCACAAATTCTATGTCTATAATTTCTAAGTTATATAACCTTAAAGTATCCACTTAGGGACTATAGACCTATTATTAAGGATCTATTTAGTTTTCATATAAGTTATGATATTACAAAATACTCCTATAGTATTTTAAACTCATGTTCTGTTCTACTGTTCTTATTGTGGTAGTGTTGGTAAGTTTTTAGACTTGTCGACATATCACAACTATTCTTGGGCATGTGCTAATCACTCCTCGGACCAGCATAGTTGATCAGGCTATGCCACTCCCAAGACTGACCATACATCCCCGAGCTTACCTGTGATATTCGACAATCATTACTTTTGTTTTGTTCTAGAGTGGTGCTGACCTTAGTATGTATGTATGCATGTATACCTTTTAATAAGAAACTTTTTGTTTCTAAAAGTATAGTTGTTTTGAAACTTTAAATCAGAGACTTAGTCCCAATGCATTTATAGTTTGTATATCTTATGTGGTTTGATATACTGAGTTCACTATAAACAATGCTCTGATACCAATCTGTCACACCCCAAACCAAGGATGGCGGAAACGTCCGGGGGTGGAGGACTTCATGTAGAGTATCACAACAATGAGTATAATAGTGCTCAAAGTAAATACAACCAACACAAATATAATTGAAAACGTTACATCAAAGCACATGTTTACATGATTCACATCAATTACATTATAATACAAAATGAATTGTTTGACGATTTATCGTCCCATCCTCAAAACGTTGTTGATTTCCTGTTTTCACTGAATTCCTGAGAATACAAGTAGTTTTGAAAAGTGTCAACACAAAGGTTGGTGAGTTCATAAGAGATTTCGTTAGAAAAGTAAATCGTTTTCCTTGTAAAAGCGTCAGAATATGTATCCAGAAAATCCTATATTTTCTTTAAAATCTGTGTAAGGTAGTCTTATGACTGAAGACCAAAATGTATAAGTAATCTTTCTTATTAATAGAAAATGTTATGTATTTAAATGGACATGGACATGTTTGAACTAAATGAAATTTCTATATGTTCTCAGGTTT